CGGACGCTAGGATAAAGGACCTCCTGTTTCTCAATAAGAACCTCGTCTGAGCTATAGTGGAGGTGGGACCATAGCAATGCCGCCTATTGGTTTATAAAGTTGATTTCAGTTTCAGCTGACTTTATGAAGCTGAAATTCACGCTTTGTGTACATATTAGCAATATTTCCTCGCATGCATACGCTGGTATTCCTATTTCATATTTCACTAGGGGATAAGAATTCGGTTATTTAATCGACGACTTCTGTGAACGGAACGTCTATGAGGATTGATGAGACTTCGGATGAAAACACCACCAGTTCCCGTAGGTTTAAGTCATTCACGAACGTCCCCTTGTATGAAATGGTTAACTTAAATCGCTTAATTGTTTGTTTGACCCCGTTCCCTTCAGCAACCGGTCTTCCGAATCCTTTCATGGTAACCTTCTTCAGTTGAAAGCATGGTTGATGAAGAGGCAGATAGTATTGCCAGCAAAGACAAAGGAGCCTGGAATGGCCACTTCTGGCTTATTGGCCGTCGACAGTCAGTCATACCCAGACTAAAATGGTGCACATCTTGAACCCCAAACTCAAGACCTTTTGATAAGAGTCTAACGTCCTAACCATTGAGCTGCAAGCTCATTGACTTGGCGATTTAGGTCAAGCGTTATCGACACTCATTGACGAAGGCTCATCGACCGCTAACAGAACTCACTTGTCGTGCACTGCCCTGCCTTGGACCAAATTTCTCGGGCCGTCCCGATGACGATTAATAAGCCAGAAATAACTATTTCAGTCTCTTTTTTCCTTGCGGGCAATACAATCTGCCCACGTTACTAGCTGATATGATTGCTGTCGAAGCTTGAGAAATGAGACTCAGGGCAGGCCAGAACGGCTCAATTGAGTTCCGTTAGCGGTCAATGAACGTTCATCGCCGTTGATGGATGATTGTCAGGAAAGTTCAGAAAACATATTATCACACTGTTAGAGCTGTTACGCAAAATAGAACCGAATACTAGTGTTTGAGGTTTGTAATTAACATTAACATTGCCTGACAGATACGCATTATTCAATGGAGCTGTGGTCCAGATCATAAGACGAGAATACTAAAGTCGACGTTGTTTACATCGACTTCAAAAAGTCTTCGATATTGTCCCACATCAAGAGCTGCTCTACAAGGTTGGCGAATCCGGGGTAATGGGAAATTTACTAACTTGGATAGGAAATTTCCTAATAGGCCGATCGCAGTCCGTGTGCGTTGGCAACGCAAAATCCCCTTCGGTGCTAGTTGCCAGTGGTGTACCTCAGGGCACGATGCTTGGGTCATTATTGTTCTTAATCTACGTCGACAACTGTAGGTATGGACTGGATAACAACAGTGTCCTGTTTGTCGATGCTATTAAGCTATGCCAATCTATAAGAAACACTTACGACGAACAAACTCTACAAGAAGGACTTGACCGTCTAGGTGAATGGTCCAAAACTGGTCAATGCAATTTAACTTCGAGAAGTCTGTCACACTGCGGCTCACAACGAAGAAGGCAAGAGCAATGAACAACGCTCACAAATACTTACTTGATGGCAGGTGCCTATCGAATGTAACCGAACAAAATGACCTGAGAATCACAATTTTGCCATCCCTGAAGCCCTCTTCGCAATGTGTTAGGGCTGCAAAAAGGGCGACGGATCGTGTGGAATCGGGAATGTGCCCTGCAGTTTGATGGCTTCTTGACATTCCCCACATCAAATAACCTTCAAACATCAAGGAACCTTGTCCCATATAGATATCCGCAGCCATTCTTTTTCACAGTGAATCATCGGTGCCCGGAACCGACTGTCCGAGGAGGTCTTAATGGGGAACACGACAGACACATTTTAATGCAATCTCGATGTATATTTACTTAACACACACCGTCAAAAAGCGCAGGAAAGCACTGTTAGAACATACCAACGTTTCGCTTACACATGTAGATGACATATATATCTGCTATT